AACATGGGTGCGGAAAATCAAATATTACAAAAGAGACTTCAGCTAGAAATATACTAATCTAAGACAACAAGAAAGGTTGAGAAACATTCTTACAAGAAATATTATCAGGATCCTTCATCAAACCAATTTCAGAATCCAAACAATATTATAAATATCTATTCACAGAATCACAGTATCTATAGCATAAATCATATAAGCTGCTATGCTATTCTAAGCAAAAGTAAAAGGAATATTTATCTAACTCGGGACATCTCATTTAAATTCTGAAAGAGAGGCAATGCGTGGAAGATGAAGCTCAAATTCTGTGAATGAGTCTATCCTTGAAATGGGAATCAAGGTGCCATTGGCATGCAACCAAAACCAGACCCATAGATTTCTTGACAAGGCAAATATATTATCGCTGCTATTTTCATGTATCATTGAGTCATTTGCATGATTAGACGCACATTCATCGTAATTTTCTGCTTTGACTTTCGCACTAGGACTTGTGGCAGGATCTTGCAAGAGGGAGGAGAGAGAATCGACCTTTTTCAATAGAGATTACTCATCCAAAATGGTCATACTTTGGGTGTCACTAAGTAAAGATTGTTTAATTGTTGCGGAAGCTCTCTCAAAAGGATCTTCAAACGGTGGTTTTCTAGACTCAGTCCAACGTACCTTTCTCTATCAACAACCAATCCAACTGGCTCCAAACCACAACCAATATAATTCACCTCGGTTGCTATTCAATCTTACTCACGTAGGACAAGAAAGGATGATGATTTGTGACCAGAAAAGCTAGGAGAAGAAACCACAAAGGCATACTATGAAGGAACCACTAATTACACAAAGTAAACAGGTGTTTTGGACACTTCTAGGGGCTTTTTTCACTCACCAAGAGGGCAGCCAGGATTCTACTTTTTCTCACACAAAGTCTCACAAAACATCACAAGAAAGAGGCTAGGGTTATATCCATATATATACTCTAGGGTTAGGCTTTAAGTTGGGCCATTAAAGAGGTAAACAGTCACCCAGAAGGAATACAATTAAGTGGGTGTAGTTCATGAACTTGGTTGTTGGACTTATTTCATTCATCGACCTATGCCTATGAAATAATATTAACCCACATTAACATCATAACCCGAAACTTATTGGGTATCAAAAACCCAACAAATCTCCACCTTGATGCCCAATACATCTGCAAGTAATCAAAACACACAGTTAACACTTGCATAATCAAGGTAGCCAATAAAATTGGATCACAGACCTTACCTCGTGTTTCCAACTTGAAACACATATCATACCTGCTCCATGTACTCACTGGGGCTAAGGTCAAAAACACCCAAGTAGAAGCAAATATTTAACAGTAAACAATCAAGAACAGATACACATGCGATGACGATATACTCTAGGATAATACACACAGATCTTTTCAAAAACACGTTCACATAGAACCATAGATCAACACCAAGTCAATAAAACAACGGTCAATCACATATGCAACACATGCATAAATGACCCTAAAAAAAGATCTCACCACACTTATCCTATCCCATTCCGTGTTGCTCACACCTCAAGAACACATATCTCTTCTCATCGTCCACCAAGCTCACTAGACAGATCACTCAACTCATATCTAATTGGCAAGTCACAATAAATCCTAAGTCCATGGGATAAACCTATATCTCCACATCACTTCTTCCAACCTACGTGGATAATGGGTTTGCACCTAACAGAAGTGATAGAAGTGCCTCTCTCACACTTCACCTGATCAGGGTCTCTTTCTAGATAAAGGATTCTAGACATTTGATCACATCTCCACTCGTGATCCAAATGTCACACTCTACATCCCTCGTGCATATCACCAATGTGCCTCTAGACATTTATACTCCACCTTATCAAAAGACATCCAACTCACTGCTAATGCATCACAAACTCACTATGGCAAATCAACACCTTTCGGTGACCACAAAGGTTACTCCAATCACCAAAGCTCAAAAAAAAAAAAATCTACAAAGAAAATGGCGAAAGTGGCACTCACAAAGAAAAAACAAAGAAAAGTCGGTTACTTCACAACACTCACAAACGAGGCTCACAAAGATAAAGAAGGTAACTCTAACATGGCTGCCTCACATAATCTTACAAACCACACAGACTCACAAAGATAAAAGAGAGAAATGGCTACCCAACTCTCTTCTCACTACCACACTCTCACACCACTCATAGAGCAAATAGAGTATGCCACAAAACTTAACCCACTATACATGTAAACATATTACACAAAGTAATAAGTCATTCTAATTCATGCAATTACACACATCAAACATATTGAAAATATAACATCAACATTACAACATAATTAAGTGATCATATACATGCAGAAAGGATTACACACAGATGCAATGCAAGAACTATGTTTATTCTCTCAATAAACCTCACTAGGATCACTACTCGACCCTAAAGTCACATTCGCTTTGTCTCTATCCTCATCTTTTCTTTTATTATCATCCTAGGACAATCTTTTTCAACTATGTCCAAATTTTACCACAGTTAAAATATATGTTATTTTTCGCACTTACCTTAGACCTACATTTGCCACCAATGCCAAATAATGACCACAAGTAAAGTATGAACATAATTCATATAGAATAATCCAGTAAACTTTCCTAATGCCACATGTAATTCTAATAATGTAGAAAAATTGACAGCAAATTCACAAAGAATTTAAGGCAAATAATTAACAAATAATCCTAGGTCTAGCAACAGGCAATGGGTACCCCTTCATGGTAACCCCAAATCTAATGTCACTCCTCACAATGACCTCTAATGTAAAAAATAAATTACTCTACATAATAATTTTAACTGCAATAATAAAAGGTAAAGAATACAATACCGAGCGGACCACGTCTGAAGGTCCGTAAATATCGAGACAAACGAATTCACAACTTTATGAATATCACTATTCATCCTAAAGTCTCTGGAAACTGTAGCAACTAAAAATATCACGATCGAGTTCCGAAGAACAATGCTGTCCAGATTCTACTGTGTACCCTGAAACAGAAAACTTCCAACACGAAAAATGTTAGAAATAATATGAGGAACAAACTGCCTGAAGAGATTGTCTCCAAATTCAGTCTCACGCGCCCTCATGCGCGTCCTTCCTTCTCTGCGCGTGGGCTTCACGCGCCGTCACACGTGCCACCTGGATGATACACGCGTCGGACCACTAGAATCACCAGCACCTGCATGTCACGTCAGTGGTCTCCGTTTCCCAAAACTAGTTCTGGATTGGTCAGAAAACACCAAAACAGGAGCTGATTTTTAACAGTTTTCTAGACAGTTTTTTTATCTGATTTCTGCTGCATTTCCTTTGGTTTTCTGGATGATTTCTGGTAGATTTCACTAGCCAAAACCTTCATCTTGAAGCTCTAATACCAATTGTTACGAAAGCTCTCTCAAAAGGATCTTCAAACGGTGGTTTTCCAGACTCAATCCAACGTACCTTTCTCTACCAACAACCAATCCAATCGGCTCCAAACCACAACCAATATAATTCACCTCGGTTGCTATTCAATCTTACCCACATAGGACAAGAAATGATGATAATTTGTGGCCACAAAGGCTAGGAGAAGACACCACAAAGGCATACTATGAAGGAGCCACCAATTACACAAAGTAAACAGATGTTTTGGACACTTCTAGGGTCTATTTTTCACTCACCAAGAGGGCAGCCGGGATTCTCCTTTTTTTCACACAAAGTTTCACAAAACATCACAAGAAAGAGGCTAGAGTTATATCCATATATATATTCTAGGGTTAGGCTTTAAGTTGGGCCATTAAAGAGGTAAACGGGCTAAGATTCAAGCCATTCAGAAGGAATACAATTAGGTCGGGTGTAGCTCATGGACTTGGTTGTTGGACTTATTTCATTCATCGGCCTGTGCTTATGAAATAATATTAATCCACGTTAACATCATAACCCGGGATTTATTGGGTATCAAAAACCCAACATTAATGTTTTCCATTACATTCCAAAATTCTGGTGTCATGTCTGATGGCACAAATCTAGTAGTTACTTGTTCTGAAATACAGCTTCCTGTTCAAACAACATCAAAGGTTCATAGTTATTGTCCAACACGTCTGGAGAGTATTGTAAAAAATACCTCCTATTCAAACAACATTAAAGGTTCGGTCACTCAAAAACCAGGACCAATGTGTACATGATCTTAAAATTATTCAGTCAAGTAAAAATTATAAGGACTATAGTCCAAACCCAAAGGTTTTAACATGAAATTTCCATTGAATGAAAAACATATCCGTATATATTAAAAAAGGGACTTCATCTTGGCACTGTTTATGGGAATGCATGCCTTTTTTGGGATTTAATGGTTTGACAATTTTTCATTTTTTCCTTTCTTATACTCATTTTTCACATTTCTTCTGACAAACCCTGGCAGTTGACTCTCCCGAAACTTCTCCCACCTCTTGCGTCACGTCCTTTGTTTTGGCCCTAATCTGCAGGCTAATCTAGAGAGAAAGTAGGCAGTGGATGCTAGATCTTCTTCTGTCATATATGCAGTTACAAATAATTCATGGAAAGTAATAGGAATTAGACTAGCAGAGTCTTCAACCGGTTCAAATCGAGTTCTTTGGTTACAGGTTTGGGTTCGGTGGATCTATGCAATCCCAAATGCAGCTGCCACATTTTGACGGTGGTTTTGGTAGGATTCATGAAAATGGTGGTTTAGACAGCTGAGGAGATTGTGTGACTGAGGGCAAAAAGTCAAAGCTGTGTTCGTGGTAGTTGGAGCTATCTATTTTGTGTCTGTTTTCTTGGTTCTATTTCTTCTTCCTTTTTCAATTTTGTAGAAAATTGATTAATAACGAAGGCCTCGATTTTTTTTTATTTTTTACAAGGAACCATTTCTTGGAAGCAAGTTTAGTTGTATGTCAATTTTTGGCATTTAATGGTACACACTTTCTTCGCTAAAGAAAAAACCATCAAGTTTTTAAAGGTGAGATTACCATTTTCATTTTTATTTAATCATTGTTGATGGAAGTAAACTTAAGTGCTCTAAGTTCATTGTTACAGCTGTAAAATAGAACTTCGAGCCTCGCGTTCATAGTATCTGGGTCTTTTACTTATTCAGGGGATTTGATGCCTTGATTTCTCAATGCTCAGGATCTTTCTTCTCTGGATTTTTCTTTTTTCTTTTCTTCCAACATCTTAATATGCACTAATTCATGGGCTTTGTTGTTCTCTTTTATTCTATGAGTCCAGCATCCCAATCTTTTGTTTGTACTTTATGGTTTATGTTTCTCTTTATAAGGCAAATTTATCTTAAGCAACTAAGTTGTACATCTGCTTGGAATGAAGCTGTTGTGTTTATTGTAGTCTAAATCAGGAAAAAACTTCATTGGATGTATTTATTTCAAGTATTTGTAAGATGCTATTACTTATCTGGTGATTTTCTCAAATACGATTTTATATAACTTGACTTCTTCCCAGGTTTCAGTTCTTCAGTGGATAATTATTTTTTATGCCTTTGTTTGTCCCATAATTTTAATGCTTAGTATATAGGAATAGGCCACTTCTTCGCAAGTTTGGAAGCTTTGGTGAGAAGGAAACTAATGCTAATGGTCTTTTAATTAAGTAGGCCCAAGAGAAAGTAAAGAAAATTTGTGAAGCAAATGTAAATCCTTTGAAAGGTGCTACAAATGGCAACATTGCCAGTTTAAGTGTTTCTTCAAGCCCTAATCAACATATTGCTAATGGGGGCTATCTAGAGTGATCTCATAACTGTTTGAAAATTAACACATCCTTTTCACCTGTAGGCATTCGTGGTAGCTGTACTTAAACTAAGCCGTAGTTACATTGGCAGTTTTTGTAGGATCCATCAATTTTTGGGTGTGTTCGACATTGGTGAAAAATTTATGTCCACTCTCTCTCAGTTTGATGTATTGAATGAAACTAATCTAATCGCGGCTGATTATTTAAATTAGTTATTTAGAATGCGAATATCATTTTTACTTAGTGTCAACTGGTACCCATTCTCAAACGCACTTAAACATTCGCTATGAATTTTCTCTACTAGTATATTTCTGTGATTTTCTTGTATATTTGAAATTGCTTATTTGTTATGACTTCTCTCCAGGATTTCGAGCCTTGAAGCGTGGCTGAATACAAACATTAGTGCCTGAATTGTGAGTTCATAAATCTGCAAGTTAACATGGGCAATCAAACAAAACCAGACCCATTGATTTCTTGAAGAGGCAAATATATCGTCACTGCTATTTTCATGCATCATTGAATCATTTGCGAGATTAGATGCAACATATATTCTACAGTTAGCACTTTCATTGTAATTTTCTTTTTCCACTGTCGCACAGGAACTTGTGGCAGGATCTTGCAAGAGAAAGGAGAGAGAATCTACCTTTTTTCAATTGAGATTTCTCATCCAAAATGGTCGTGCTTTGGGTGTCACTAAGTAAATCTTGTTCAATGTTTTCCATTACATCCCAAAATTCTGGTGTCTTGTCTGAAGGTACAAATCCAGTAGTTTGTTCTGAAATACAGTTTCCAATGTTGTTTTCTAGATCACAAATCCACATAGATGGATGGAGATCTTGCACCTTCAGTTGTTCCCAGCTTCTTTGCTCCAAAATAACGATGCTCCTCACAATTTCCGTCTGTTCAATTGCAACAATAGCCATCACTAGTAACAGTAGATAATGCAATTATCAAATTTTGGTTGAAAATGAGTTCAGAATTACGACTACAGCTGAATAATTTGCAAGATCAACATTCAGCAACACATCCTATATGGAGAAAAGTTGATAAGTAAATTGTTGTATTCACAATGAAGATGAGTGATATTGTACCAGAGCTAGAGGACAAGGTTTCTTCAGGCACGTGTTCAGCAGTCAGGTGATTAAGATTTTGTCCGAAAGTTAAAGGAGGTAATTGTGTGATGGCTGTTAATTCTACATCCTGGAAGCTAGAGGGAGAATATCCTTGAGCGGCAGCCACTCGATCAAATTCAAGACCTCTGGATTCTTTTGGATTTTCAAAAGTAGAAGCGTGTTCTGGCGAATCTATAACTATCTTGAGTTGTTGGCTCAAATTATAAACAAGCCTGTCACACTGGATCAATTTTTCATAGTTATTGTTCGACACGTCTGGAGAGTATTGTAGAAAATGCTTCTTGTTCAAACAACATCAAAGGTTCGGTCACTCGAAAACCAGGACAAAAGTTTTCAGGATCTCAAAATTATTCAGTCAAGTAATTATAAGATCTATGGTCAAAACCCGAAAGTTATAACATAAAATTTCCATAGAATGAAAAACATATCCCTATATATATTAAAAGAGGGACTTCATCTTGGCACTGTTTATAGGAACGCATGCCTTTTTTTGGATTTACTGGTTTGACTATTGTTTTTTTTCCTTTCTTATATTAATTTTACACATTTCTTTCAACAACCCTAGCAGTTAACTCGCCCGAAACTTCTCCCTCCTCTTGCATCACATGCTTTGTTTTTACCCTAATCTGCTAGCTAATCCAGAGATATAGTGGAGGGTGGATGCTAGATCTTCTTCCTTCGTATATGCAGTTACTAATAATCCACAGAAAGTAATAGGAATTAGACTGGATAGAGTCGGTTCAAATCAAGTTCTTTGGTTATGGGTTTGGGTTCGATCTAAGCAACTTCCAATTGTAGCTGCCTCATTTTTTGAGATGGTTTTGGTGGGATTCATGAAAATAGTGGTTTAGACAGCTGAGGAGATCGTGTGATCGAGAGCGGAAAGTCAAAGCTGTGCTCGTGGTGGTGTAGAGCTGTCTATTTTGTGTATGTTTTGTTGCGGAAGCTCTCTCAAATGATTTTCAAATCGATGATTTCCGAGTTTAATCCAACGTACCTTTCTCTACCAACAACCAATCCAATCACCTCCAACCCACAACCAATCTAATTCACCTCGGTTGCTATTTAATCTTATCCATGTAGGACAAGAAAAGATGATGATTTGTGGCCACAAAGGCTAGGAGAAGACACCACAAAGGCATACTATGAAGGAACTATCAATTACACAAAGCAAACAAGCATTTTGGACATTTTTAGAGGTTGTTTTTTCACACACAAAGGGGGCAGCCGGGATTCCTTTATTTTTCTCACAAAACCACACCAAACATCATAAGAAAGTGGCTAGGGTTATAGTCATATATATATATATATATATATATATATATATACTCTAGGGTTAGGTTTTAAGTTGGACCTTTAAGAGGCTTAAATGGGCCAAAATTCAAGTCATCCAAGAGGGAATACAATTGGGTGAAATGTAGCTCATGATCTTGGTTGTTTGACTCATTTCATTCATCGGCCTATGTCTATAAAATAATATTAACCCATGTTAACATCATAGCTCGGGATTTATTGGGTATCAAAAAACCCAACATGTTTTCTTGGTTCTATTTCTTCTTCCTTTTTCAATTTGTAGAAAATTGATTAATAACGTAGGCCTCAAATTTTTATTTTTTTTTTAAATTTCTTACAAGGAACCATTTCTTGGAAGCACGTTTAGTTGTATGTTAATTTTTGGTATTTAATGGTGTCGTTTTTCTCTGCTTATGAAAAAACCATTAAGTTTTTAAAGCTGAGACAACCAATTTCATTTTTATTTAATCATTGTTAATGAAGGTAAAGAGAAAGATGTATAAGTTAAGTGCTCTAAGTTCATTGTTACAGCTGTGAAATAGAACTTCAAGCCTCGTGTTCATAGTAACTGCGTCTTGTACTTATTATGCAGGGGATTTGACACCTTGATTTCTCAATGTTCAAGATCTTTCATCTCTGGATTTTTCCGTTTTCTTTTCTTCCCACATCTTATTATGCACTAATTCATGGGCTTTGTTGCTCTCTTTTATTCTATGAGTCCAGCAACCCAATCTTTTGTTTATAGTTTATAATTTATGTTTCTCTTTATAAGGCAAATTGATCTTATGCAAGTAAGTTGTACATCTACTTGGTGTGAAGCTTTTGTGTTTATTGTCGTCTAAATCAGGAATAAACTTCATTGGATGTATTTATTTCAAATATTTGTAAGATGCTATTACTTATCTGGTAATTTTCTCAAATACACTTTTATATCACTTGATTTCTCCCCATGATTCAGTTCTTGAGTGGATAATTTGTTTTTATGCCTTTTTTCGTCCCATAATTCTAATGCTTATTATGTAGGAATAGGCAACTTCATCACAAGTTCGGAAGCTTTGGTGTGAACAAGTTCGGAAGCTTTGGTGTGAGGGAAACTAATGTTAACGGTCTTCTAATTAAATAGGCCCAAGCGGAAGTAAAGAAAATTTGCAAAGCAAATGTGGATCCTTTGAAAGGTGCTACAAATGTCAACATTGCGAGTTCAAGCGTTTCTTCAAGCCCTAATCAACATATTGCTAATGGGGGCTATCTAGAGTGATCTCATAACTGTTTGACATCCTTTTCACCTGAGGGCATTCCTTTGCTGCGATTACCATTGGTTACTTAAACTAAGCTATAGTTACACTTGCAATTTTTTTAGGATCCATCAAATTTTGGGTATGTTTGACATCGATGGAAAATTTATCTCCACTCTATCTCGGTTTGATGTATTCTATGAAAATAATCTAATCATGGCTGAATATTTGAATTAGTTATTTAGAATGTGAATATCATTTTACTTAGTGTAAACTGGTACCCATTCTCAAACGCACTTAAACATTCGCTATGAATTTTCTCTACAAGTATATTTCTACGAGTTTCTTGTATATTTAAAATTGCTTATTTGTTATGACTTCTCTCCAGGATCTCGAGCCTTGAAGTGTGGCTGAATACAAACATTAGTGCCTGATTTGTGCGTTGATAAATCTGCAAGTTAACATTGTTAATCACTAGGTAGTTGTTCACGAAAATATCTTTTTTGAATTAAGACCATCGCAAGTGTACTATTCGTTAGCAAGTAATAAAGTGGACATGAGTCCAAGTATAGTTTCTACAGAGATTGTACTAGTTCGAGTTCAAATTATAATCGAAACAATTGAAATTGGTGATTTTTCTCTAACTAAATTATGATCTAATAATCTACTTGTAAATGGAAGACCTAACTTAACTAAAATAAATGCAACATTGTAAATGAATGCAAGTTTTAAAAAAAATATTATGATGAAAAGCATATTAAGATTCTGAATCCCCTTATATCAATCCTCTTTAACTCGAAATTTATAAATTTGACAACACGATTCAATTACGAAGACCAATATTCCTAATTTATTTAACAATCTCCCTAGAGTAGAATTAAACCTATGTTTAAATGTGGCCCGTCTATAATTCTATTATGGATGTGAACATATAAAATTACATTAAAAATTTATGAATACTTAAAGGACAGGTAAAGCATATCGGTATATTTCTATCACCTATCGGATTCTACGATAATTGACAAAATGTCTAACTTATTTTTCATCTCTCGAGGATAAACCAAGCCACAAAATTCATACAATCAGTGATCAAGTAATTGTAGAGAAAATTAAATATATGTGAACCATTCAATAATTTAAAACGTGTTTTAATGTCAAAATAAATAAAATTAAAAAGTTAAAAGTTCATAATATGAGATTCATCGAAAATCCTAGTACGAAAATAATTTAGCCGAGTATAATGTTGAGATTAAACAAAGAAAGGATAAAAGACATCACCAAAGATCGACCAAACGTGATTATTTTCCCAATAAAGGCTGCCATTTTCTGTCCTTTTTCTCTTCCTTCAATAGCCTATCTCCCAGATACGTGTTTGCTTCCCACTTTTTAATTCCCAACAGCTATATTATTATTAATTTTTTTAAATTCAGTTACCAAATTATTATTATTATTATTATTATTATTTTTTTTTTAATTTAGTCGCCAATTCTGCCAAAGCTGCCACCAATTGAATAATTCTTTTGGTCTTTGTATGTGTGTCTCCTCTGTATAGCCGTTTTCTCTCTCTGTGTGTGTGTGTGTATATATCCTTTTTTTTTTGGCCCCCAACTTTTGTGTGGATAAAGTCCGAGTTGAGGCCCAATTAGTTGCAATTTATCTTCCAATGCCACACTTCACTATAATTAATGCAAGTTAGTCCTTTTCTTCATTGTTTCCTCAATTTTGATCCTCCAACTTTTGTTCAAGTGAAATTTGGTCCACAAACTTCTATTTAATAGCCAATTGATCCGTTTATTTTCCAACTGCTTCAAAACGGGTCAAACACTGAAACAAACAAAAATTAATTCAAATTAAGTGAAATTCAATAATTTAATGATATAAAAACTTAGTAATATGACCCAAATAAGTGCACAAAATGCGCTTATTAGCAATCGTACTATAGACAACTTTTAGTTGTCATTCTTTAATGAATGCTTTGTATTACTCTTTGCTCAATTTTTGACGCTGGGTAGGATAGTGATTATCCTATTGGCTTGTTATAGTAGATTATTCATAAGAAAGAAATGAAAGAAAACACCCAAAAAATCAAAAAAAAATACTCTGAAATCAACTCAATATTATTAATAATACCGAATGACCAAAATTAACCCATAAGCCGGGTTAAGTAGCTGCAAAATACGAAATTATAGGAAAATTACAAAAAATGGAAAAATCCCGAAATTACATCAGAATAAAATATTATGTAAAAGAAGTAGATTGCCAAAAATTTGGCTCAATTTAAGTTTTCTAACATATGGAAAAAAGGAAACGAAATATTACCATAAATAGCAAAAAATAACTAAAAATTGAATTTCGAAAAGGAAAACAGCAGATTTTGAGGTTGAAATTGATGCCCACTGAGCAAAGTTGGTGGCCACGACGTGCGTACTAAAGAGAGCTTTCCGAATTGGGGTCATAATAGTGATTTTGGTAACTGTAGCCAAAGTTATGGCCAAATTATCAAAGACGTGTCAAATTCCCCCAATCAAGGAAATAATTACGATTCACTTTCCATCTTTGTGATGATCCCCCATCTCATGGTATCTTAGTGCCATCATTGTGCTATTTAACAAAGCAGCATCACTCAACTCAGATCCTTCTGTATTAGTCGTCCCGGGTCGAAAAGAACTTGCCCTCGAGTTCATAGTAGCTTCATCGGACTCCACAAAATAAGGGCTTAGGTGTTTCACATTGAAGACGTCAGAGGTCTTCAAATGACTAGGGAGCCGCAACCTATAAGCATTATCATTGATTTGCTGTAGCACTTCACAAGGTCCAATCTTCCACTCCTTTAGCTTATTGTACTCCCCAGCAGGAAAATGATCACGAGTTAATACTACCCAAACAAAATCACCAACATCAAATAACACTTGGCACCGATGACTATCTGCCTGAGCCTTGTACTTAGTATTACTATCCTGTATCGACAGCT